TTCTGCTCTTAAAATGCATAGCTGCAGTTGCTTTTCGGTGAGGAAATTAGAAATAAATCCATCCATTTCACAGATGCTGAATAAAGGCAATATGTCACAAGGTAGAAATGGAGAGGAAATAATACAGGCAGAATAGCTCTGTATACCTTCTTGCATTGTGTGCTGGACACCCAGCCTTTATAGAGATGTTCTGCCACTGGCTTTAGTGGTATTACTCCCAGGTCACAATGGCACGAGGGGAAAATTAAATGCACATCTTAAGACAGCTACATACAGTCACAATAACAGCTGCATCACTTCACATATTGTAATGTACTTGGCAGGAAAGGAAGAATGTGTTATTTAGTTAGAATGGGGAGTATTATGTAGCTTGGCTACATCACAAAGAGGGCAAGAGGTCTCTGTTATCTCACTGGCCGCTTAGACTGATACTTTGAAAAAATATTGTTAAGGTTTGGTCTTCTGCTTGAGAAGTGTTCCTGTAATTGCTGTTTAGAGGGTTCATATTTATCAGTCTAGGCAGATAGCCACTTGTAGATTATAGGTTTTTGTCGGCACTGAGTAAAACTAAACTAGCAAATCCAAATCTAGATGTCTTGCAATGTTAAAAAAAAGGCTCCTTCTCTGGGCTTGAAAAAAAAAAAAGGCTCCTTCTCTGGGCTTAAGAAGAAGGGTGTTTATGTCTCCTCTGTCTCTTTGTAATGGCTTTATGAACTAGAGGATTCACTTTGGCTCTTTACCCAACATGACAGGGAAAGATTGGCATGAACATCTCACCACATGACCATATAACTACCACAACTTATGTCCTTAGTAGAAGTGTTCCATAAGTCAGCTCGGGACTGTGCCACAGCCTGAGACATAAGTCAGATGATGCAACAAAAAAAATAGGTAATTAGTTATCATTTGGCTTTAAATATGACCATTTTGCAGCAATGAGGAGGATCGGATCTTCCACTTCATCACAGCACTGAAGCCTGTTTGTTACTTGTTCGTGCTTGCGTATCTTCAGGAAGTGCTTCTACTAGTATTCTTCATGCTAATTAAAACACAGGCTCTTTTTCTGCAACTATATCCAAAACTACAGTACAGAGCTCCTTTGTCTCCAGATGGAAAATTCTGGATGGAAACATGTTCTCAAACCCTGCACAGATGGCTGGTTCAAGAGCACAAAGTCCAGCACCATAGGACTCTGCTGTGTACATGGGCTCCAGGTGGTAGCTCTGACTGGGTTACCTGATGTCTGTCAATTCTAGGTAAACAGTCTGATTCCTGTTTTCCTATCTGGGCATCATTCACAGGAAAGCAGGACATGTCCATGGAGCCTGGGATATCAAGAATTGACTGAAGTGTATTCATTCAGAAGCCTGAAGTGCAGAACTGTTGTTTTGTGTAGAACATGCAGATATAAATCACTAATATAACCATATATGTGACTTTGAAAAATAACTGCAGAAAACTGGGAGATTACTATGAGTGACTTTTCACCCTTGAGGTCTTGACTTAAAAACCTGTCTTGAATAGATGGGCTGTAATGTCCAGGCAACGGTTCACAAGCACATTCTCACAAACACAGTGTTTGGGTCTGTGCTGCAGAGAGAAGGTGAAAGTGTATGGGGAAACTTAAAAAAAACCCTCCTGCCTTAATGCAAAAAGGCTTCTGCAAAACCATGAAAAGAAGGCAGTGCAACCAGCAAATTTATAGTGTATGTTTTTATAAGGATAAATAATAATAACAGATTTAGTAACATTTCATTCTAATCATTGTCAATTGGGGAAACCCTTAATGATGGCAAAGTAAAATCTGGCCCACTGAATAACATGAATATACTCCAGCTCCACAGGGGAGCAATTGGCCCTTTAGAAGGGGTCTGGCACAGTGTCACTGGAGCACTCAAAAGGCAGTGACCTGCTGATGTTATTTTTACCCATTTGGTTTTACAGTCTAGGATCTGCCTCAGTCCGTAGTGGCAGGCCTCACGGCAGCCCTACCACTGCACGGGAGGGCCTCTCACGAGGGCTGCCCCGTGTGGCTGCGCTGCAGCGGGAAGAGCATTAGGAAGGACGGGATCTGGCCCAGCCTGGAGCCTCACCTGTGCTCCGTGGTTTCTTCTCTGAGGAGTTTCACTGTTCATTCCTGGTTCGGTCATCTTTGAAGAGTGGTGGCTGTGGTATCAACTTCACACCCTGTTGAAACTGCAGTCCTAGCGATGTTTGCAGTGCCATCTAATGGCTAGCACCAGCTCAAGCAGCCTTTAGCTTTTTTATTTGTTTTACTTTGTGTGTGTGTGTGTGTGTGTGTAAGGGCCCAGAATTTCTTAGCACCACCAAGAGACCACGCTTTGCTAAAGAAGGGGGACCTCAGCTCTTCAGTGCTATATGCAGCTTTTCTCTTCATGGCAATAAAAATAATGCGGGTTACCTTTCAGATTTTTGTCATTGCTGCTGTAGATACTGACTCCTCCTCATTTTCTTGTTTTGACAAGATTGATCTGTCCACATCAGGATTCTCCACAGATTTCCTCCATCATGGAAATTAGAGACAAGGAGAGACTTTCCTGACCATTTATCTACTAGAAGGAAATTATTTTCATGTGGAAAATCTTCACCAATGCACAGGAAGTGCCCTAGGGGCTATCTAAAGCCCTGTTCAAATCCTCTGCTTTGTACTTCCCCAATTACAAGACTTTTTGTTCTGTGCAACACCTCTGCTAAACTCTTTGTGTCAGTTCCTAAGTCAAAACCCCTGGGGCCATCATACTGGAGACTCAAGGCAGGGAGGCAAAAGCACAGAGACTTGTATGACAGTGACTCAAAGCTGTTTTTCTCCCTGTTTAGGTCAGTTGGTTGCTTATAGCAACTTTTTGGTGGTGGTATCATGGAACCGAGGCAGGACAGAATCTGAGATTGGCCCTTAGGGAGATCTTTACTTTTGCCAAATGAATATCCCGGCTTCTTCTAAGTTCCCAGAAATGTTTTATATTCTTAAAGAGTGCTTAAGTCTTGATTCCTTGTGGAGGAATGGATTCCATTCTTTGAGCCTAATCCGGTTCCTTGGCTTAGTTTGTAAATTCCCTCATGTTGTAGGACAGGGGAATGCTCGCAGCACCTGAGGTCTGTCCTTCTCTATCACACTGTAATTTTTAAGGCACTTCATTGAAGCTCTTAATTTTGTTATAGGGCATGAGGAGCCCTAAGGTTTTTGAGGTGAATGAATATTCTTGCAGGCCTTTTCCGTAGCTTCTTCTGATGATGTGGAACTAGACCTATCAACTGAGAAGGATCTTCCTAGTTCTGTGATGCTGAGTATCTTTAAGTTGATACAGCAGAAATGATGCATGATTCATTCAGCATGATGAATGGATTATCTAGTTCTTAACTGGAGCCATGGTAATGCCTTTGACAAAATGTGGGCTTGCAGCCTGAATGAGTATTCCTCTGAAAAGAGATCAGAACTGATGCCCAGGGATTCTAGCAAGGTATTATTTGGGTGTTTTTGTTCTAGCATGCCTTTGTGTTTTGTGAAGTCTGACTTCAAGAGTCTGAAACATTTGCATGCCCTGCTGAGCCTTACGTTTATTGCTGGAAATATCTTTTATGGGAGAGAGTTATTGAAGCTTGGTTGTATGTTGTTCTGGTGTTAACCTCTCTTTTATTTGTCTTCATTGCAGGATTTTCTCTTCTTGGAGGACATGCGTGCTTCCTTACATCACAAGATATACATCTGGGCACTAATGAGAGTCTCACAGATACAGCAAGGTTGGTAAGATGTTGTTTGCTTGATTGGTAGATGTATAAGGAAGTATTCTATCAGGCTGAAATGGTTATCGTATAATTTTATAAGTTAATCCTTTCTTTCCACAAAATTTCAGGACACCCTCCACATTTCTTAAATATTTGCAGGTCAGCTCACAGAATCTGTAGTTCAAAACTCTGTCATTCCATCCATTCTAGCTCTTCAAAACATCTCACAATAGGGAGGGAGTGCAGAGGACGGGGATGGTCTCTTTTCAGTGGTGGCCACTGATAGGACTAGAGGAAATGGCCGGAAACTGAAACATCAAAAATTCCATAGGAACTTAAGGAAAAATTTCTTCCCAGTGAGGGTGACAGAGCACTGGAACAGGCTGCCCAGAGAGGTTGTGGAGTCTCCTTCTCTGGAGATCTTCAAAACCCGCTTGGATGCAGTCCTGTGCCACGTGCTCTAGGTGACCCTGCGTGTGCAGGAGGGTTGGACTAGATGATCTCTAGAGGTCCCTTCCAACCCTAAGCATTCTATGATTCTATGATTCTATATATATTTGTCAAATCTGGGTTTATGGAGATCCAATGAGGATGAAAACTCGCACAAACAGAAGTGTTTTACAAATTTCAGTTATATAGCTCCAGTAGTGATATCACATAAACAAGATTAGAACATTCTAATATTGTTCTGCCCTCTGACTTCTGACGGAGCTAAAAGTACAACTGACTGGAAATCAAAACCAGAGGCTTTATTCATCCCAGACATGCCCGCTGCTGGGGGAGCCTTAGCCTGTGTAGGGTGGCACTGAAAGCCATTGTGGTGTCTTTCTCTCACCAATACAAAACTGGGCCAAAAATTTGCAGCAGGTTCCCAATTCCTTGTGTCCTTCTACACTGCAATACCCTCTGTCAGTACTGCTAGGTTAACTTTTCCTTCTCTTACCAGCACCTCTGGAAAACCTTGTTCATGGCTACCCCCTTGTGCATGCAGGGATGGGTAGCTAGCAGCCTGTTCCCAGTGCCATAGCTTACTTGCTATAGCTCTATTGACACAAGTGATGAAGGATTTTTCCAAGTCAAACATGTAGCTTACTGTGTCATCTTAGAGGTAAATGCCAAACATTGATGAAAATAGGTATTAATCTCCAGGTGTCTTCCTGTGGGTAGCCACAGTGAGGAGATGGGAGACCAGGCTAGGAGATGGGACCTGCATGATGGGCAGGAAGGCTCGGTTTTTTGATGGAAAGGTGTGAATCAGGTATTTGTACCTTGAGAAGGGACTGGACACATCAGGGCAGTAGGAAATGAAGAAGAAATGCAGTGTCCCCATTGGGAAGGAGTTACTGCAAGTTCCAAAATGAAATGATGTAGAAGGATTGCAGAGTGGTCGAAGGTAAGTCGTGAAGCCAAGGGAAGGTGGGATTTACCAGAAGCAGCATGAAATTTCACTGTGGCATCTGTGCATGTGAAGGGAAGGACACATGGTGAGAGACTGCAGGGCAGCGTGATGGGGCACCATGGGGCCAGTGAATCCTGGCAGGGGAGGGCCTGCCCCATCTCACAGCCCTGCGAGGGAGCAGGGCAGCGCGGGCAGCCCCAGCCACTGGCACTGGGCACTGCCAAAGGAGCTGAGGCTGCTCCAGGGGGTCACTCATGGGTTGGGATTGAGATAGGCACAGGAGCTGGTGCAATGCAGTAGGACCTGTAGCAAAAGGCAGAAGCAAGCAAATCCTCAGAGGAGTCCTCCATTGTCTGGAGAAAATCTCACAACACCAGCCTCCCTTTTCAGTTTCCCTCTCCTCTTGTTCTTCCAGACCCTGCCCCTATTTATGACCGAAACCTGGGGGGTTTTACATCTCTGCTGAATCATGGCACTCAGCTGCTACAGTGGTGTGAGCACTGTTGGCTTTCCCAAGTTCTTACAGAGCCCCCCACATCTGCTTTAGTCCTGCTCTCATTAGTAGAATTACTATTGACTTTGCATAATTAAGACTGAACTGTTTATCCAAAAGAACAAGCTAAGAATTCATTCCTTGGCATTTCCTGTGAATAAAGGATGACATGCCAACTTCATTCAGTTAATATGAGAATAAAAAAAAAAATTAAAGAATGCCTGTATAGACCCACAGGGTATTTCAATTATTTGCAGCTTTGTGTCTGGGGCTCTAAAGGCTTTTGAAGCATTTAAGATTGAGACTTACAGCAAAGGGGACACAGGGCTGTAAAGGTCCCAGATTTTTATTATAATTGATGCAGGTAAGTGTTGAAAACATTTCTGTTGTGAAAGTATTTTGAGTGACTTATTGCTTGGCCATAATACAGTTCTTCGTGCTTCACAAAACATTTATATTTGCACTGACACAAGAGCAAAACTTACCACCCATTAAGGAGCTTTAAGCCCTTCAGTGCTGTTCAGCATGTCTGATATATTATGTGACATGAAAAATGAGTAAAGCAGTTCATTTGTGCACCACTGTAGCTCAGTGACTTTTAACAGTTCACTGAGATTGCTGTGGGACAAATCTTCTCATCTATGGGGAATGGGGTTTATCTTTTTAAGCCTTTTCACCATTTACTGAGAACAAGTCTGCACTAAGTCCCCGTAGTAGTATCAATAACAATGAAATAAGAAGTCTAGTTAGAAAATTAAATCTTTGAGTAATATATACTTTCAAGACAGAAAATAAGGCATCCAAATCTTGGATAGTAACAATTTACCCTAAACATATGTAAGTGTCCCAAAAATTACAATACTGTTTTTAACATACAGAGATCTACAACAAAAAGAGAATGCTTTTATTTGTGCTTAATTATGGAGAAAGAAACAAAACAAAACAAACAAAACAAACAAAACTCGTGGTCAGCGATAACACAAAAGCCTTGCTCACTCCCTCAAACATAAGGAAACTGGTAATATCAGTCAGCTGATGAGCCTGTGCTTACTGTCCCTCACTTCTGAAAACTTCATTTTCATTAAAGACTCTTCTTTAGCTAGGTCTTTTTTTTTTTTTTTCTTTAAGCAATCCCAGCCTTACACCATTTTCTTCAAGCTCATTTGGTTACAGCAGACCATCAGGTGAGGTCTAGCTTTTTGGCCGAGCTCAGCTTGGTTTTGATTTCATGAAGGGTAAGCCCAGGTTCAGACTGGGTTTCCCCTGTAATATGACATCTAGAAATGCTGACAGAAGGGCTGCCTGATGTCTTGCACTAAGTGTGCAGAAATTCTAGTGTCTACTATCAACAGAATAAGGAAGGAAGTACATCAGTGATCACTACTTGCTCTGGGATATACTAGAAAGGAAACAACTTTCTAAATTCTTTACCAGCTGTATGGGGTAGGGATCGACAGACCTAATGTCCTAAAAAGCTGCCTAATGGGCAATTTCCCAATGTAGCTTCTTCTCTTTCTTGGCAATAGAGGGAATAGTTACGTCCAATTTGATGTCCTACTAAGTGGCCAGCAAGAGGGATCATGAGTCCCATCGTTGATGACTTGTTCAAATCAAAGCAGGTTGTCCATAGTCACATGATTCAAGGCAGATCAAACAAACAAGCAAACGTAAACTTGTGAGGTAGGAAGAATTAATGGCACAAGTAACAACTATTCCAATACCTTATTTACCAGGTAATACCCTGTTCAGCTCCTCCTTTTCACTTCCATATATCTTTTTCTTCGGAGAGCGTTGCACAGGGAATTTTCTAATGTTTTATAGGAATTTTGCACATGTGCAGAATGTTTGACACCAACAGAAAAAAAAAAATTTTACTGATTTCATCAGGAGGTTTCTCTGGGTAAAGACCATAGTCTGGTAAAGACCAAAGACCAATTGCACCCATATTTCCACATGAGGAGATATCAGAAAATCTTGTGGCTATTCAGAAAGATGGATATTGCAGGAGTTTTTCACTCTTCAGTCCCCTTGTTTTGTTTTAAGGTCCAATAAGAGATAATATTAAAACATACAAAATACTACTATAAAGTCATGCTTCAGAACCTGATTGTAACAGAAATGCTGAGCTAAGCCACAATTTATGTTTAATTTATCAAAAATTCAAAACATACTGAGTATGTTATGCTAATGCACTATGCTAATCTCTGAATCTTTCACCCTTTGGCAAACAAAGTAAGACTAAATGATTCCTACATGCCCTTACCTATGTACCAAGTTTCAAACTTTGATGTTTGAATGGTGATACAATTTATGTAGATAGGAGAAAGAAAGGGCTGGTGTTGTTGGCCTTCTGTTTTCGTTTCCATTGAGATCAGTAAAGAATTGTGCTAATTTGATACAGATTTTTTAGTCCTAATCCTTACATGGGTCAGGTAACATGCAAACTAAAATGTTCTGTCAATGCTACATTTGTTCTTTGCTGTAAGACTGAAGAAATGTTTCATCTAACCGCTTCCACCAAATATTTAAATATCTAATATTCAAATATTACATTGTCAAGCTACTTCTTTATTTTGTTTCAGTTAACATTTATAAATGCTAAATCAAAACAAAACTACAAAATGCTACAATCAAAAACTAAAGAGAAAAAGCATTGAATACGAGTTGTGTTCATTTATTTAGTATGGTTTGCTAATAACTAAAGCTACTTACCTATTAGCAGTTGTTAAATGTCTGCATTTAAGTGTGTTATGTAGCCAGCATGAATTATTCAGTTAGCTGGAAAAATCAATTCATTATCACTTCTCGTTAGTATTTATGTGTTGCACATTGAAGACTGCAACAGACATATGTTTATGATTTTCGACTCCAGTATTTTCGGCCATCCTCTAGGGTGCTGTCCAGCATGGCAAACGCAATCCTGGCTCGAGTTTATAAGCATGCTGATCTGGACCTAATGACGAAAGAAGCCACAGTCCCCATAATCAATGGCTTGTCTGACTCACACCATCCTCTCCAGATTCTGGCTGATTACCTTACTCTTCAGGTAACTATTAAACCCCTTGTTTAAGGTATTTTTCTGTTTTTTTGTTTGTTTGTTTGTTTGTTTTGCTAAATCTTGATCTCAGTAACTATTTGGAAAGTCAAGTTCAAAAGCATTTATTCCTATTTTTTTAAATTGGTAATTACATGATATATTATTTAGAGAGATCTTCATCAAGCAACATCATTAAGGACCTGCTTAATTTAAAACAATTAGCTAGTCCTATCTGCTGTAGTGGGACTGAAGTTAAGCATAAAATTAAGTGCTTCCTCAGAATTAGGCCACAATTCAAGCAATGCATGGTGGTAAGATAAATGTGGAAAGATAAATATGAGATGCTGGCTCAACCAGAGCCAGTGAAAGCTTTGCAACAGACTTAAAAAAAAATGGGATGGGATTTTCTAGGGTGAAAACATATCTTATCTGATCACTGCCTGTAAGAAGGTTAATACAGGGATGTTGGATAGTACCACTGATTCTTCAAATAAGGTAAAAGTTTATGTATAGGATTTGGGCTGCTTTCCTGCAGTGCAAAGGAAATGTACTTGATATACATGACATACATATAAAATACAATAATGACACCCATTGCCTTGTATTGCATATAAACTAGAGAATTTATGCAGCTGTTTTATTTGACTTGAGCAAATATTTCTTCCATATCTCTGTAAATATTTTTCTGCTTGAATCTGACCCTCCTTGCCTTCAGTGCATACACAAAATGTACTTTTATTTTCTATTTCTAAGACTTCTGCGTTTACCAGTGGATCTCTAAGTGCTCTTTGACCCTCTTTAGCATGTTTTTGCTCTTCCATTTTCTAAATCCTGTTAATTTTGTCATTTGCCTTTTTGAATCCTCTCCACGCACTTCGTCTTTCATCTGTAACTGCCTAGTTTCCATTCATTTTGTGGAAATATTTTTGGATTGATGCACCACGGCTTCTCATTACCCTTTGACAGGCATATTTTAGTGGGTTTTGTTGTTGTTGCTTTAGTAAATTCTGTTACAGGAGCATTCCCAAACAATGCAGCTAGTATATTTTTAAGGGCTGCCTTTTTCTCATTTTGTATTCAGGATATTCCTGTCAGATCATAAACTGTGCTCCTGTCATGAAAATGAGGATGAGATTCTTCAGATTTAACATCCTCTTGCGCTGTGGCTTCTTCCTGAGCAGCCTGGAGCCCACGCACACCAGCTAGCTAAGCTGGTTTCCCCCTTGCTTGTGCTCGGTCTCAATGATGTCCTCTGCAGTGACACATGTAGTGCCAAGAGGTACGTTCTTCTTGGCATACCTGAGACCTTCTTTCTTAAAAGCTTTTGTGAGCTGAGTTTGCTCTTGAGGTGAGTTACAACCCACTAGAAATGATGGCAAGCCCTTTGCCACCTGAGTTTGAGAGTCTGAGGATTTGGCTTTCCGAGACTACGTGTCCGTGCATGTTGCTGTGCCATTCTGCTTTGCTGCCTGTGCTGGAGGCCGGTGGCAGCCCCTTCCTCATGCCGAGGGCGCCTCTCCATGGCTGAGGGGAGGCTGCTGCTCGTTGGTGCTGCTCCCCAAGGCTGGGCCGAGGGGCAGCGTTGCACAAAGCCTGTGCTGACACCGATTCCATGGGTATTAGTGTCCCTGCCAAATCAGCTATCTCGCAGCTGACCATGGCTGACTGCAAGATGGCCTGACTGGTCTTCAGAGCCGATCCGTATGCTGCCAGCTCCATGGGTCGCTGCTCTGAAGTGGACTCGCTTTTTGCAAAAGTGGTTGGTGTAATAGCAAAGATTTTGTCAGGGAGATTCTGGATTCTGCTGTTAGGTTATAATTATATAATATAATTCTGCTGGTAGGTTATAACTGTTGTGCTTTCTTTGCCTACCTAGCATCACCAACATGAAATTGGCTATTTTGGGCTCTCGAAAGTACAACTAAGAGATTTTTTAATCTGCTTGTCCATCTCTATCCTTACTGAACAGCTTCGTGTCAGCATTAATCATAATAAATATTTTGTAATTCAAGTACCCCCCCTTGTAAGTTTTGTTTTTATTTTGCACTATTATTTTTCTGATTTGGGTTGTCTCATTTCCAAACATTATATAGAAAGTTACATAGATTCTTCTAGCTTGTCAGTATTCTTTGCTGCTTTTTAAAGTAAATAGGTGGCTTCTTTTTAGATAACATAACGAACTACAGTGTTACACAGTTTAAAGAGAGCTGCCATGTGTTCTTTCTCATCTTCTATGTCTTCATTCTATAACCCAAAGAGTTCAAATTTTGTCATTCCCAAATTCATCACCATTATCATTGTCATTATTCTAACAATTAGAAATCCCAAGAAAGATCCACACCAATCCTCTGGAATATCCTGCCTCAATAACCATGACAAACACAGAGCTAGGAATAGGTAAGATGACTGGCACAGCATCTCTCCTCAGCTCAGGTTGAGAGCCTGTAGATGCCAGGTTGCCCAATTTCTTATCTGCTGGGTTGCGCTGCCTCCTAAAGTGCTACAGCTTTGGCTGGTCCCTTGCTCTCCAATTTTAGGTTTGATAAATTATCAATTCATTATTCAAAAGCTTTTTGTAATTGAGGCTGTTATGAGTGATGCTCTCAAACATTTCTGAAGCAACCTACACTACTGTCAGGGTTTCAGGCTAGCTAGAAATAAATCCAAACACAGAGTCAGACAGGAAACTTCTTAATTAATGAAACTGATCTTCTCCAAGCATACAGCAATGCTAAATCATGGGTAAGAATAGAATGACACAGTAAAATAAGCATGAGCATGATTAAGTAGATTGTTAAATCAGCATTAATCATTTTGCAGGATTTTTTCATGTGAATAGCAAAAGCACTATAGAAGCAGTCACCAGTTTGCCAAAGAGGCGTTGGGGAGGTAGAAGGGCTTTTAATTTTCTACATTATTTGTGTGTGTGTGAGGTTTTACTGGAAGTAGAAAAAATATATTGAAGTCACATCCCAAATATAAAGGTATATTAACCTGCGGAAGACCTAAGCAATTAAAATGTCTGCCTCACTATGATAGGATTTGGAAAAAATGGGCAGGGATGCAAGGGACAATCTGGGCGTATTGTAAAGATTCTGGCTGAGGCTAGGTTGCTACCATTGTGGCAAACCACTTTTCACAGGATTTTCTCTGTGTAGTTGTATAAGCATACACCATAAAGCAGAGAAAGAAAATATATGTCTCTCTCACTGTGGTTTTTATGTCGTCCCAGAGCAACCTGGTTCTGAGCAACACAATCAGCTCATCGTTCTCACAGTCATTCTTGGAGGCTGAGGGTCTCTTGAAGGTCCTTTCCAACCAAAATGATTCTGTGATTCCATGATTCTAGGTCTGATAATATGTACTACAGTCATAGTCACAGTGCACTGGCTTTAAATGAAGACGTTGGAGTTATCTGGCACACACTGAGCTAGGGCTTCTTCTATCAGTGAAATATCTTCGTTAAGATCTGCTCAACTATGTACCCTCTACGCAGCAGTCAAGGCAGAGCTGGCTTTGCAAGTTACAGTCCAGATTATGAGAGTTACTGTGTGGACATCTCCACTTCTTCAAACCTGATCTGGACCAGCTTGAGGAAAGACACAAAAATAGTTAAGATGTTGTGCTTCTTTTAATGCAGAGTAGCAGCTGGTAATAAGGTGGAAGTTATTTAACATAGCTGTGTATCTGTGACTCACTAGTCAGTCAGCCAGCCAGCTTTGAACACCACATGCTGGGCTGCCTATTTTTAAACAGTGAGATCAAATGAAGCCAGGATCATCTGATTTGCTCCTGGTTGTGGGATCCTACCTGAGCTATCACTAGCCCCTCGCAGGAAATGACCTCTTCAATGCCTTAATTTTGACCTTCTCCTATGAGTGTCGTTGCTAAAATGATCGATAGTTTACCAGGGAGAGAATACCAAGGAACCTACAAGAAGTGACAAGGGGTGGCTTGCTACCAAAGCCTGGGAAGCTAGTTAGTCTGAAATCAGGCACGAGCATGACTGCACTTAAACTATAGGCAGCCTAAGAGTCTATGAGGTTTAGATTGCAACTGCATTTTAATGTCATCAAATGTTCCAAATGCTACTATTTTTGACTCAAAATTGTGGTCACTGGCAGAAATGACACTAGGTTTCTTCTGAAGCAGCTCCACAAATATTTGTTCAGGAGAAGCAGCTGCCAGGAGGGGAGGGGGTCATTCTAGCCCCTTTCCTGTTCAGTCTTTTGGCATCTTCACTGAGACTGACTACAAGGCTGCCAGGTAGTACAGCTCTACAGCAGGGAGGCTGATGCTCTCTGGCAAGCTCTGAATCATGTCACACAATGTGCCGGGGCACTGTCTGGCTTCCCGTTCCTGCAGTGCCATGGCAGTGTGGCCCAGCTTTGAAGTGGTGCCCCGAGAACAGAAGGCTCTCCATCATGTCTTTAAAGTCATAAGATGGAGAGCAGGCATGTAGAAGTATTTGGTTATGTCTTTACGTATTTTCTGGTATCAACTTAAGTGCATGCAAATATGCATATTTAAAACAAGCCTCTTTGAAGGGCCTCAAATTGTTCTAGTCTGGAAATGCACACCTCATGATGCTCTTGCTCCTCCTTAGGCCTTGCCTGCCACTGGCTGAAAGCCAGGGTAACTGCACATGTGCAATGTGCAATCAGGTAAAGATACAGTTGGTACTGTAACACTGCTTCAAGTGAGGGTAATCTGCTTAATAATCTTAGTAATCTTAACAATCACTTCCTTCCTTGGTTATGTAACTGAAGGCAGATGATGGAGACAGTGGAGATCATGGAGCAAGGTTTTCAATGCTGTCTCCCATAATATCCTCATAGGCAAGCTCAGGAAATGATGGATAGATGAATGGACAGTGGACAGTGGGAGCTCAAAGGGTTATCATCAGTGGTGCAGAGTCTAGCTGGAGGCCTGTCCCCCAGGGATCAGTTTTGGGTCCAATCCTGTTCGATTTATTCATCAGTGACCTGGATGAGGGGACAGAGCCACCCTCAGCAAATTTGCTGCTGATACAAAACATGGAGGGTGGCCAATAACCCTAGAGGGCTGGGCTGCCATTCAGAGGGTGCTGGACAGGCTGGAAATATGGTCAGAGAGGAACCTCATGAGGTTCAACAGGGGCAAGCATAGGGTCCTGCTCCTGAGGCGAAACCCAGGCACCAGGACAGGCTGGGGGTGACCTGCTGGAGTGCAGCTCTGCCGAGGAGGACCTGGGAATCCTGGTGGACAAACTGACCATGAGGCAGCAATGTGCCCTCATGGCCAAGAAGGCCAATGGTACCTGGGGGTGCATTAGGAGGAGTGTCGCCCAGCAGGTCGAGGGAGATGATGCTCAATGGTGATCCCCCTCTACTCAGCCCTGGTGAGGCCACATCTGGAGTATTGTGTGCAGTTCTGGGCACCCCAGTACAAGAGGGATATGGAAAAACTGGAGAGAGTCCAGAATGGGGCTATGAAGATGATTAGGGGACTGAAGCATCTCTCATATGAGGAAAGGTTCAGAGAGCTGGGATTATGCAGCCTACAGAAGACTAAGAGGGGATCTTATCAGTGTGTAGAAATACCTTAAGGGAGAGTGTCAAGAGGATGGGGCCAGACTTTTTCAGTGGTGGTGAGCGATAGGACCAGGGGCAAGGGCCACAAACTGAAACACAGGAAGTTCTGCCTGAACGTCAGGAAAAGTTTCTTTACCGTGAGGGTGACAGAGTCCTGGAACAGGCTGCCCAGAGAGGTTGTGGAGGCTCCTTCTCTGGAGATCTTCAAAACGCACCTCACTATAGGTGACCCTGCTTGTGCAGAGTGGGTAGACTAGATCCTCTCCAGAGGTTGCTTCCAAACTCAGTTCTGTGAGTCAGTGGAACTAGCCATGAGTGGCATAGCTGCTTTTGAAGTACTGGTTAAAATGTAGTTTAAGGGCATGGCCATTTTGTAGAAAAGAACATAATGTGGAGGCAAGAAATTAGAGAAAAACTGAATAGGGATCCTTAGATAGTTTTGGGCAAGGCTGGGAGGACCTTGGTCACTAGAATTGAGTTAACAATTCCTACCATTCACTGACACCTAAGAGCACCAGTAGACAGCTGCAGCTCCAGTGTTGAAACCACTAGTGCATTGGGCACCCTGGACCTCCCTGTCTCGTGTATGGGTCAACATGTTCCTCACCAGAGAAAGCTCCAACACTCAGGTCTGCATATAAGGCAACACACAGGGCCATTGCCTTGCTGACTAGCTTGTAGCTGCCGCAAGTTCAGCTAGTGCCATGGGACTCTGGAGGGAGACAGCCTTCCCTGGGTCACACCGGCCTGATCCATCTTGTGTTCTGCCTTTGACCTCAGCCTGCTCTGCTTCCCTCCACTGCAACCCGCCTCTGTGTGATTTGGTTGGCAGGAGCACTACGGTGGCCTAAACGGGCTCACAGTGGCCTGGATCGGGGATGGCAACAACGTCCTCAACTCCATCATGATGAGTGCTGCAAAGCTGGGAATGCATCTCCGTATTGCAACTCCGAAAGTAAGAAAGCTGGTGCATGGAGAAGGGAGATCAACCTTTGCCAATTCCCGTGTCAGCCACTTGGATCCTTCCCAAGGGCCTTGGCTAGGGTGCTGCATGCATACTGAGCGTTAGCGTTATTTAAGAACAGAGGTTCAGAATCTTGATCAGTTATTTTGATGCAAAACAGGAGTAACTATAATGATCCAGCTTCAGAAGGGCTAAGGGGCCCTCATGACTGCTGTATAAATCATGGGGCTCTGTGGGGGAAGAAAAGTCCATTTGAGAAAGCACTGAAACATCCCCAAACTTGTCACCAAAGAAAAATGTAAAAATCACTGCACTGGTGAAAGTGTTTTATATTAATCTTTTTAGAATGCTGCATTGTAATATAATATATGAAATGTAAAACAAAGAATCAGTTTAAAACAAAACAAGCAAATATGTTCTGTAATGTTACATATCTTCTCTTTTGGCAGGGCTTTGAACCAGACTTCAGAATAACTAAAATAGCTGAACAGTACTCCCAAGAGGTATGAACCTAAGTTATAACCTAATACACCCGCTAGAATAGAGTTTATTTTATGCTATAAATGAAGTTAAACTTCCTTACTTTCCTGATCTTCATTATCTTATTCGCATTAGTATGGTACCAGGTTACTTCTCACAAGAGATCCTTTGGAAGCTGCAAGTGGTGCCAATGTGTTAGCTACAGATACATGGATAAGCATGGGACAAGAAGAGGAAAAGAAAGAAAGACTAAAGGCATTTCAAGGTTATCAGATTACAATGCAGGTAAAAGCTCAGATTTATTCTTTTGTTGATGTTTTTGTAAATCATATTTGTGAAAATCAACACCAGCAAACCAAGGGTTTGGTACTTCCTGCAGTGAGGCCACTGACTAACCGCATGCAAACCTCATGTGCAAACCTCAGCTTGAAAAACTCACAAAGACATGAGGCTGAGTTGTGCTCCTGCTCTTCCCATGGTTTGGCACCTCTCAGAGCTTCCCAATGACACCTAACTCCAAAACATGAGCAGTGCAAGGAAGCCAACCCTTTACTTCTTGATGACATAAAAAACTTTAAATGCGACCTAAAAAGTTCTAACCTCTCTTTGTCACCAGAGAAGATGGCTTATGTTTTATTTTTAATGAGCAGCTCACAGGTTAAGTTTAAAAGTCCACAGCCTGGACAGAATTTGGGGCAGTTTTGTGTACATCTATCAATGGATGAAGCATTAAATAGATGTGTCTTTAAAAATCATATAGCTAAAATACTTACCTGAAAAAAAAAAACAGAGAAAATAGTAAGTCATAAAATATTTGTTGTTGAACATAAAAAGGACATCTTCTTTGCTAATAGATTTACTGTTTTAATTGACAGAATTTTAATATAAGTTCACAAAGTACTGTTAACAGGTATGTATCTGAACTGGCTTAAAGTGCTTTAAATCATTGTTCAGATATGAGATCGATATATGATGAGTGACAATATCAAAAAACTCTGATTATAGCCTTTTAAATCATATTTTAATAAGCTCTTGTTGCAGTTATCCATAGTATTACATTACTGTATGGCATTCCAATATATTGATCCACTAAGCTACTAGTGTTTAACTGCCCTACTAAAGCCAAATAAGTTGGAATGAAATTAGGTTTTTGGGAAGTCAGCACTGAACTCTTACTGACTTGAGTGGGGCTATTCCCATCTTACTCACACATGGACAGTTCTTTTGATGTCACTGGAATTTCTCTGAATTCATCATCAAAGTCACTAGAGCAGGAACTAATATAACATTTGTTAGCATTTTTACCACTTACAGTTTTCATTAATGCCCTAGCGTGTTCCTATATTTTTATATGCTTTTTGATATACAGACTGCAAAATTTGCTGCTTCCAACTGGGCATTTTTACACTGTTTACCCAGAAAACCAGAAGAAGTTGATGATGAAGTATTTTATTCTCCACAGTCACTGGTTTTCCAGGAGGCCGAAAACAGAAAATGGACAGTTATGGTAAGAAATGAAAATAAAACCTAGAGGTTAGGGTCAGGCTTTGTTCAGCCTTTCACAACAGGCTTGGTATGAACCTGCTTCCTCAATAAACCCTAAGTATTAATACATATATTTCAAGTGCATCCAATCCAGCAGCATATATAGTTTTGACTATATGTGTAGCACAGATGCTTTTGGCCACAAATGTAACCTATTTTGATGATAATCTGCTGCTGCTTGACCCAGTTTTTATCACCTAATGAAATCTATAAATAGTAACTTTCATTGTAATGATTGACTTGGTTCCTCCATTTTAAAGCTTGCTAAATGCAAGAGTAGGCTTGTCGACTACAGTTTCCCTTAAAGCAGACAGTGCTAGAGATACTGTACTTTTCTCTCAAGAAATGCTGCCGCTGAGAAAAAGCTCCTGAGTGGGAACTTTCTCTGAGAAAGGACTGCCAGAGGAAATCTTTCAAGGCCTCTGAAACATAAGGACCCTCAGTTATGGCCTGGGTAACCCTGTGTGTTCCATGGGAACCACAAGAGCACATTTGGCATTTAATATAAACCATAACTCCCCTCTCAATATTTCTAGGATTTCAGAAAATTACTCTCAGATCTCAGTAACCTGTTATTTGTTGTTGGCTTTAGAACCATCATGTTGACAAAAGCTAATGAAAACTTTCAGAGCAATGAAAAAAAATGAAAGAGTTCTCAGAAGAACTCTGCATTTGATTTTGTGGCTATTATATTTGCCAGAAATTCATCTTTTGGACTTAATCAGAGTTTTTTTAACACATTTGTGTTAAATTCATTACATATTTTTGGCCTTAAATTTCTGAAAAGTGCTCACATTACTGAATTTCTTTCTGAAATGTTACTAAATGCCTCGATGTTTTTTTAAAGGACACAAAACCTTTATTTTGGATTCAAGCTGTACATTTTTTTTTTTTGGGGGGGGGGGGGAAATATGTTGTTAGAGTTTGATTTTATCAAGCTAAAAAGAAGACCGTATGGGTCTTGTTTCCCTGTTAGTTTCGAATGTTTTCAGCCCAGCCAGCCAAGTGAAACATGGATCGTTTGCTGCGCTGTAGCTCCGAGCGGGGCACGGGGAGCAGTGGGGCTGACGGCCGTGTGTCGGGGCCCCACCACGTGCCCACGGCCGCCTGTCACCCCAAACAGCGCTCAAAGGAGAGCAAAGGGAGGCAGCAGGACCACAACCCCCTGCAAGGCCCTTTGTAAATGCAGTTCTGGGCCAAAATGCCAATTTGCAGCCTGACCTTGCTCCAAGTAACAACAATGTGAATCAAGGAGTGCCCCAGCAAAACAAAGCAAAGCGCAGGGGTCTGTTGTGTACACAAACATGGGGAGGAGACCAAAGCAGCTACTTCAACGCTGTATTTTACTTAGCTGGCATTTCCATTGCTCTCTGCCATACCCAAGGCTTATGGAAGTGTATATGAAGTATTGGAAGGGGGCAGAAGAGGAACATGACAAACCATGAACCTCTGCTAGGATTTTCCAGGTTTTACTCCACTCAAAAAAGGGCAACTAAACTAGGATAACAAAGTCCTTACTCGGGTATGACTGTCTGTGATGCTAATGGAGCTTCTGTGGAAACCTCCAAAAGCCGGAGGTATGAAGAGCTGGAGGTTTGGGTACCTGCAACAACTACTAGGAGTAGCTGAGGACACAGTGTGACCCACAAAAAGGACCTTAGTGTTTGGTCTAAATATGCTTTGTCTGAATTTCCCCTGTATGGACCATTAACATATTTTGGCTGGACTGGGAAAACTTATCAGTTACTAAACAGAATACCCTAAAAGATTTTTCAGGTCTTTCCTGATTCATCATCAGAAACTCTAGCAAATAAATCTAAGTGTGAAGTTTTTGTCAGGACAATAATTTTCAACACAAGGCTTCTGCGATATAGAAAATATTTTTCCCTTATTTATTTTTAGAGAGAATCTGTTTCCAATGTGATTGGATTTTTTTTTTCTTTTTTCCCTCTTCTAGGCTGTCATGGTTTCCCTGCTGACAGATTACTCACCGCAGCTACAAAAGCCTACATTTTGATGCTTGGAATCCTGCCAAGAGAAAACACTCCTCGTCGGCAGAATATTCTGGTCTGCAAATGCGTAGCTCTTCTTCAGAAGAGATCAAAGCAATGAATGCTTCTTTAATAAAACTGTATAGATGCCTCTGTGAAACTGCACAAAATTGCATTACATTTGTGAAAATTTTTGAGACAATAAACACCACTGCAAAAGCTGCCTGATGCTCTAAGTTATATATCTTTTTAAGCGATCAGCATCTCTGAAAGCTTTTCCAGGCTGTATTTTAATGATTCTCTCTTCCAGTGTCATAGACATATCATAACCCTTAGCTGCTGGTCCTAGGCAGCATGCACAGGGCACCAATGCGTCCCTGTCTGGCCTGGGTTCCCGTGGCTGTCCTCCGAGTCATTGCAAAACCCTCTTTCTGTTTGACACCGAAAATGTGGGGCCCTTGTCAGCACCATCCTCCTCAGCACTCTTCCTGTGTGCTGGCTCCGGGGGATGTTGCTGCCGTGCGGAGTAGGGACGGTATGGAGGCATCAGTTCCTTCTTTAGCCATCTCCCTCTGACTTCCACTCCCTACGCAGAATTCTGTCTAAAAATGCACGTTTTCTATTTCTCTCAGCAAGTATGAGGGACATAATATAAGAGGATGAGATACAGCTCTTCTGTAGAAAGAGTTTGCTGTGTTTCATCCACCACTATAGCGTTTGCACGTTTCAGCTAATCCCTCTCACTAGCAAACAGGTCCAGGATGACTGCACTGCTTATGATGATTAGATGTGTGTGCGTAATATTTTTGGTAAAGCTTTGCATTGCTGTTAATAAACACTTCCTTGTTGCTGTTAATTAGTTTCAAGAATGCATTGATTCTTTTCCACTGTAATACTTGAACAGTATTTGTGATTTTTTTTAATACTGTAAATTGGTTTCTCTTTTCTGGCCAGTCGCAAAATATTTTTTAATTCATTTCAAAATTGGGGTTCACTGCTGGGCCACACGTCACTCAAACAAAAATAGAAAAGCATTTGCTTATCAACCCACGTAAGACTGATTCATAGTTTTCACAGGCATTTGTGTGTCTCTTGTTAAAATTAACGATACAGCATTACGAAGGCTTCGATAATCTTATGGTTAAGTACACTGCATCAGAAATCTAGCTGCAGTAACGACGGAGGAGTAGGGCATTTGCTAGAAATCAATGCCTTACTACCATGCAGTAGGCTGAAGTCTAGTTGGAGGCCTGTGGCCAGTGGTGCCCCACAGGGTCAGCACTGGGCTCAGTGCTCTTCAACTTGTTCATCAGTGACTTGGACGAGGGCACAGAG